ATCATCCTCCGAACTTTGCGGTTTGTAATGGCCCTTAATTTGGCATACAGTTCTGGTACATCGTTCCCCTATCTTTCCTGAAATAAAAACTGCAAGAATGACATATATTATATTAAATATATAATGCCCGAGACATTTATTTTTACCAGAGCCAAAACTAGTTCTCGTTTAATGAGGCATTCACGTGTATAAGTCTGGTGACATTTGTAAACTCCCTCTCACAGGTGGCAAGGTATTTGCCAGCTTTTGTTTTATTCTCATTGCAAAGATGAAATAAACGTTTTATTGTAAAACATTTAACAACAATGCTGCTCAACTTTAAATCAGGAGAAGCAGTAAAAAAAGGAACACAGTGTTTTGAGATTTGTGTAGGAATGATTTTTGACTGTTCAAATGAATAATTCTCAGCTACAGAATTTAATCAGTTAAATTATTTAGAATATAAAATTTCATATATAATCTGTACTCAAATGTTATACCTATATAAAAAAATTATATTTAAAAAATCTTAATTAAATACGAATGCTGCACTGAAATTGAAATTTTCGACTGTTCTTGAATGTCTCTTCCTTTTCCATTTCCTGTCCCATCTCCCGGAATCTTCCATTCGGCTCTTTCATCGGAAGTGGTATGTAGCTATGGTCGCGCTGTCTCATATAACATTAATATAAGCAGTGGAATACATTTGCTATATACAGAGCTACGTCTTTTGAAACAAATAGGTTGTTAAAAATAAATATGATTTTATATTTAACTTATGTTTGATAAAACTGAAAACGGCTCTATGTCTCTAAGTACACGGTTCTTGTTGGCAGACGTTAGCGGCTGTGGCTAACTGTTTTTAACAGCTTGTTTATAGTCATATGTTTTCAATGCAGATTAAGAAAACGTTTTCCACATGAGACCGAGTAATATGTTGTATTAATTTGATGAATTGACAGCTAAGCTGGACCATCGATGTATAAGAAGTTGTCCCAGTATCTGTGACTACCGTATTTTCACGATCATAAGGCGCACCGTACTAAAAGTTACTCAGTTATATGTGCTATTACTATATTTAACACACACATAAGGCGCACCGGATTATAGGGCGCGGGTTTTATATACCTTATGTTTGATAAAACTGAAAACGGCTCTATGTCTCTAAGTACACGGTTGTTAGCGGCTGTGGCTAACTGTTTTTAACAGCTTGTTTATAGTCATATGTTTTCAATGCAGATTCAGAAAACGTTTCCCACATCAGACCAAGTAATATGTTGTATTAATTTGATGAATTGACAGCTAAGCTGGACCATCGATGTATAAGAAGTTGTCCCAGTATGTTTGACTACCGTGTTTTCACGATCATAAGGCGCACCGTACTAAAAGTTACTCAGTTATGTGTGCCATTACTGTATTTAACACACACATAAGGCGCACTGGATTATAGGGCGCGGGTTTTATATACAGATGCGTGTCCTCTACTATGTTTAAATACCTCTACTGCATATTTAAAAATAGAGTGGGAGCAAAACTGAGTATGATTGTGCTTTATTCATTTATTTATTACAAAGTATTAATCAAACACAGACACATTGCTGATGACAGAGCGCAATGATCACTCCTCTGAAACAGTTTATTGACGCATAAATTAACTTAAAATCCTGAAACCTTTCGACAGAATATGTTCGCTTTTATTATCCTGTTGCCATAGCCATTTTTAGAGTCTCTGTTATCCAGTTAATGATTAATTGATTACTAAATTAGTTTATGAATATTTTAATAATTAGGATTAATGTGTTCCAGCCCTAATCATTATAACATAAATATTTAAGAGAAACTGCTTAGAATAATTATACAGTCTTTGTAGTACAATAACTAATAAACTTGTTTTTTTTTCTCAGACTGAAAAAAACCTGCTGACCTCTTCTGTGGCTGGTAAGAACCTTTTAGAACTGTGATGTTGGCCTAGAACAGGGGTCTGCAAAGAGCCATTCTTTTCTCAGTCCAGTTTCTGGATAAAGGATAACATTTATGATCAATATCAGCATAAGAAAATTGGTCATTTTTAAAAATCCAACATTTTATTTTGTATTTATAGCTTTGAAAATAAGGCCTATTTTCTTTGATGTATGCTTTTTGTCCTTAGATGGGGATATCTGTGGAAAATTGTTTAGCAAAGATAATTGTTTACAACCTGATGACAAGAGAAATATATTAACGAAAAAGGGCCAGGGGCACCAATTGATCTGTGATCCGGTTACTTAGATGTAAAAACAATCTTAGCCACTGATCTTATTTACCTCTAAGTCTAAAATTAGCCACTGTCAGTGCTCCAAACGTGTAATTTATTATGTGTAATTTGTTTGGTTCCTGGTGGACACGCGTGTATTCTGTGCTAAAAGTCACATTGTTTGTTTTCCTCAGATTAGTTTGTCCTAACAAAATATTATGAATAAGCTGATGTTTTCCTAAATGGATTCTGATCCAAAGCTTCACTTTAGAAGCTCAGACTGTAGAACCCGCAGCCTCTGTAGTGCCTCTCTTAATCTTTCTGGGTTGATGGTGAACACTGAACTGTTGTTTTCCTGATTTCTTGTAGGCTAACCTCACATTGCTGTGATCTATCGCTCTGACTGGTAAGTTATTTTGTTTTATGGTGATGTACTGAGTTCCTGGATTACTGTAGACAGCTGTAGATGAAGTTAGCATCTTATAACCCGTGAAACAACTGCTGCAGATGATGAGATGTGATGACTGCCATGTTTGATCCTCAGCAGAACCTCTGAGTCCATTCAAAGTCAGAGTCCCTGCCCATCTTGTCTTGCTCTGAATTAACACAATTCTCTATTAAAATAGTTAACTCTCTATTAGTATTTTGACAATCTAAACGGTTTAAATTAAATTAAATGAATAATTTTTAAAAGCACCCATTTGCTCAACTCAATAGCAGATCACCTTGAAAAAAGCTTGTTGTACTAGGAATTATTTGGTTTGTGAAGCCAAGAGATGAGATTTTTTTAGGTTTTAGCCCATAGCAATGAAGTAAAAATATGTCTTTAACAAAATCTAATGACTTCACAGCAAAGCTGCAGCATTTTTACCTCATCAGCTTAATCTAAGAGCTGTATAATGGTTTTCAGGTCAGTATTCAGTGGTGATTTCAATGCACCATATAGGCTACTCCAAACTATGTAGCTTGAGATGGTTGGTTCCACCTCAGGAGTCACAGGGCCCAGGGCACCACTTTATGTCCATTTGAGTTACCCTTAAACCACAGTGGTCCACTCTGCTAACGGCTGCCGTTTGCCAACCAAACATGTCTAACACTTTCCAGATCAGACATTTTTCTGATTCTCTGACGTAGATGCAAAATATTCTGATGTCAGAACCAGAAGACAGAGAGAGACTGGATTATTATTTAGCTAAAATGTTGTGCTGGCAGCACCCTTCAGGGCTGCTAAACCTGGAAGTTATTGGTCTTGGCCCCCTAGTGGTCATATAATATACAACAGATTTCTTTATCAAAAGTATCTGTACCTGGAGTCCAAACATTAGTCCCCCCCAGCCGGGCATCGGTGCTAAACTTGTACAAGTATCAAAAATGAAGCAGCACGTGCATTTATGCTACTCTTGCTGCTTTAGGGGTGAACTTAGCATAAGAGTGGCTAGCATCCAGCCATGACATCTTGCACGAGCATTGGGGGGTCGATTCGTTCATGTGTCAGGGTACGCACACGGGGGGGGGGGGGGGGGGGGGGGACAAGCAGACAACCATGATTAAAGTGTTATGGAACCAATCGGGTACAACAAGCTGTCTTTTGTGATTGGCTGGGGTTATTCATTGATTTCTCACTGTAGCGGGGACCATTTATTTTAGTTTGACTTCCAGAGCTTCTATTTCACTGCTGTGGGGAGATCTTTAAGCCACGTGGTAAAAATGGGTCAGAAAAGATCTCCTGCTGCACCTTTAATTTTTAAAATTATTTGCAGTATTAGCTGTGGAAGCACTAATGAAAAATCTTAGAGGATGTATGTGTTCTGAGATCTGGTCATCTTAAGATCTGTGACTAATAAACTCTCTTCTGTTTCCAGACGGAACTGGACCAGAACTCCTACTTTGCTGGTGAGAGGATTTTTTTTTCAGAGCTCTCAAATACATCCATCACTTGAGTGTAGGTTTGCTGCATGTTTAGACCCCAGTCAGAACATGCAAGAAATATACAACAGATTTCTTTATCAAAAGTATCTGTACCTGGAGTCCAAACATTAGTTCCTTTAACCCCCCCGTATATCTGTATAATGGGTTTTCAGGTCAGAACCAGAAGACAGGTGAGACGGGATGATTTAGCTATATTGTAGTGCTGGCAGCTGCCTTCAGGGCTGCTAAACCTGGAAGTTATTGGTCTTGGCCCCCTAGTAGTCATATATAGTTCCTTATACACATCCATCACTTGAGTGTAGGGTTGCTGCATGTTTAGACCCCAGTCAGAACATGCAAGAAATATACAACAGATTTCTTTATCAAAAGTATCTGTACCTGGAGTCCAAACATTAGTTCCTTTAACCCCCCCCCGTATATCTGTATAATGGGTTTTTAGGTCAGAACCAGAAGACAGGTGAGACGGGATGATTTAGCTATATTGTAGTGCTGACAGCTGCCTTCAGGGCTGCTAAACCTGGAAGTTACAGATCTTGACCCCTATTATTCATATGCATTTACTTGCAAAAGTATTCACCCCCCTTTAAGTTTTTGTCCTTTTACCACATTGCAAGCTTTGAACCTAAAGATACCAAATTTTTATTCTTTGTGAATAATCTACCACAAGTGGGACACATTCATAAAGTTGAGTGAAAGTTTTTGGATAGTTGAAACTTTTTTTTTTTTTTTATGAAATGAAAAAAAAAAGAAGATGAGATTGACTGTCCAAAATGATCCAGCTCCCATCAGCTAATAGCCACTGGTCGGTTGAACAGAACCCCCTTTTTTTTCTTTTTTTTTTCTTTACGCTGGGTGTGTAGGAGTGTGTGAAATGTTTTCTGGATCTACATGTGCTGCATTTGTGATGGTCTTTGGATCAGTCACTAATAAACCCCTTTTCCTCTTGTTTCCAGAGAGAACTGGACCGGGTCTCCTGCTTTGGATTTCTTTTTAGAGCTCTCCAGTACATTCATCACTCATTGGAAGGTTCCTGCTTATTTTATGTACCTTTTTTTTCTCTGTACTTTATCAGAACAACTTCTTTTTTTCTTTTGCCATAAACGGAAAATCAGATTGATTGATTTCTAATATAAAACGGTTGGTTTAAGTAAAAAAAATTGGGGTGTTGAACAAGTGATAGGATCGATATAACCGTTAGGTAATGTTAACTGTTAACAGAAACCGCAAAAAAAGTGTAACGTTGGCCATAACTCACTCAAAGAGCCGTTATAAACATTCACTTTCAGTTGTAGAGAGACTTTTTGTGCCATTTAAAACGGTAGGTTTAAGAAAAAAATCTAGATCCAAAAGTTCAACAAAGATCAGTCTAGTTTTAGCGGTTACAGGAAGAGCACAGCATTTTCTGATGGTTTTCTAATCAGTTTCTTCTCTCACACCTACAGGGAACTCAACCAGAACTCCTGCTTAGCAGGTAAAATTATTTTTTCTAGATGAGGTCCAGTCTTTTCATTACTAAGTAAAGGAGAGTTTCACATTTTAATTAATGTTTTGGAAGATTCATCAGAATTGCTGACTTGGCTAACCCAACCTCATACAGTGAAAAGACCTCTTCAAAAATTGGATGTAGAGAGGACCAGAACAGATGTTTATATTGATCCCCACATAAGCACCTGTTCACAAGCATTGCTTTCAAAAATTACAAAACAGTTTATACATGATACTACCTTTACATGTTTTCAGGTTTGTAACTTTAAGATGGCATTTGAGCAAGAAGGTGCTTCACTGAGTTATCTTATTAGAGGTCTCTGATGAATGTTCTCTTTTGTGTCTTTCAGGTGTTCTGTGGACTGGCCTCCTGCCAGTGGACGTATCCTTTCCATTTATCAGATCAATATTTCTGGAACTGTTTTTCAGACATTTATTCTTGACTCTGTTTATCAGATCAATATTTCTGGAACTGTTTTTCAGACATTTATTCTTGGCTCTGTTTATCAGATCAATATTTCTGGAACTGTTTTTCAGACATTTATTCTTGGCTCTGTTTATCAGATCAATATTTCTGGAACTGTTTTTCAGACATTTATTCTTGGCTCTGTTTATCAGATCAATATTTCTGGAACTGTTTTTCAGACATTTATTCTTGGCTCTGTATTTTATGGTTCTCAGAACTTTTCAGACTTTTCAGACTTTTCAGATTGATTTCAGAAAATTTCAGAACATTTTGAGAGATTGATTTCAGAAAATTTCAGAACATTTTGAGAGATTGATTTCAGAACATTTCAGAACATTTTGAGAATATACAGTATTATAATTAATAAAATATTTCTAAGTTTGATCCTGACCATCCCTCTGCTGCTGCTGCTGTGCTTCTGATCTACATTCCAGTATAATAATAAAAAAAAAAGTAAAATCCACCATATACATTTATTCTGTTTCTTGTTAGACATTAACAGTAATTTAGAGAACAGGTGAATATTTACTCTGTTTATTGCATATCTGGATAAGAAGTTTCTGCTCTGAAACAAACTATAAGCCAAATTGAGTTGGTGTATTTGAACATTATCTTGACGTTTGCAACAATGCCTAGAAAGAGTCAACGTTCTCAGGCTCAGAAGCTTAGACGTCAGAGAGAGTCTCAGCATGGTCAAGGAAAAGGTACCACTTTTCAGAACAGCAACCCAGTGTTTCAGAAGGCATATACTGATGCTGTGGACACAGAACATGACAGACCTGGAAATTCTTATAATGGACAGCAGGTAAATTGCAGTCTCAGCAGTTCATCTAGTGTAGCTTCATTTTCTGATAGAGCTTCTGTTACAAAGGCTTTGCATGCAGGACAGGTAAAACAAAGAGTACCACAGATGTCTTATGCTGATGTATTAAAAACAGGAGTTGTTGCAGCTGGACCATCTCATGAACACAGAGTGATTGCAGAATCTCAGCCATCAGTGACACATGTCTGTGCATCACGCAGCCAGGCTTCATTGAAGTATGGAAAATCCAGGAACAAACAGTGTGTGGCCAATAGTTTGGTTTTTCTGGCATTTTTTCATGAGAATGAAAGTATCAGCAGATCAGAACTTGACTTGGTTTTGGATAAAGGGGATATTGTCTACAAAGAAGCAAGAAAAACGTTTACTAAAAGCACGCATTTGGCAACCGATGAGCTGCCGAATGAAGTTACTGCACGCAGGTCAAAGTATCAGGTGGACAAGTCTCGAGCCCCTGTTTGTGGAACGTTTGGAGGATGTCAGCTGTACCGGAGTCTGGAACAAGGACTAAGTTGTCTGTCATCAGATGTATGTTATGCACTGCTGATCATGTCAGGGTTATGCATTGCAGTTTTCAGAAGCAGGTCTGGTCAGTATGGATACTTTGACCCACACTCAAGAAACAAATATGGAACATGGGTAACATCTGGTTTCTTAGACCGTGGTACTGCTGTGATGCTAAAATTTAACTGTTTGAGTGACATGATTGACAGAATCAAGCTATGCTTCACATCGTTAGGTGTTCAGTCATCTTGTTTTTATGAACTCCAGCCCCTGTCATTTAACACAGAGGATGCACACAACAGGAGAGATGTTTCAGACACAGCTACTACTTCTACTCTGTCGTTTGAAGCTATTGGTGAGTTGGATTCACAGACAGTTGGCAATCAGTCTAAGAATGTTTTACCTGAGATGTCAATGGATATAGATGCAGTTCAACAAGAGGCTGAATCAACACACCCAACACGTAATTTCCCTGCATGCGAGTCAAACTCTGCAGTTGAAGTCATGAACCCTGGTGTAAGTGGTGTTTCAGATGATGCAGCCCAATGCATATCTGAGGTCAGTTTTATGTCAACTGTGACAGAAGAAAACATGTCTGTCCTTCATACCAGTGTTGAGCAAGAAGCAACAAGTGTACTTACAGGAATATCTTCTGTCAAACTGTCAAAATACAGTAAAAAGAGTAGAAAAAGGGCCAAGAGTAGATTAATTAGAACAGAAAAATATAGAAAAAGACAAGAGAATCAGAAATTAAAAGAAAGACAGAGCTATAGACAGGTTGCTGAGTTTAGAGAGAAAAAAATATTGTATATTCGAAATTTGTACAAGAATGACCCAAGGTTTCAGCAAAGGCAAAAGGATTACATACGTAATTTATATAACAATGATCCAAGGTTTCAGCAAAAGCAAAAGGATTACATACGTAATTTATACAACAATGATCCAAGGTTTCAGCAAAAGCAAAAGGATTACATACGTAATTTATATAACAATGATCCAAGGTTTCAGCAAAAGGATTACATACGTAATTTATACAACAATGATCCAAGGTTTCAGCAAAAGCAAAAGGATTACATACGTAATTTATACAACAATGATCCAAGGTTTCAGCAAAAGCAAAAGGATTACATACGTAATTTATACAACAATGATCCAAGGTTTCAGCAAAAGCAAAAGGATTATATACATACTCAGTACAGGAAAGACCCAAGATTCAGACAGAGACAAAGATCTTATATTACAGAGCGTTATGCAAAAAACAAAGAATTTAGGTTCCGCCACAAGAATCTGAGACAAGTGATGAAAAACAGGTACCATAATAATAAGTCATTCTGTGCTATGCATAAAATCAGAATGGCATTAAATGTAAAAAGAAAGTACAGGCAGATGAAAAGATGCCCTCAGAGACAAACAGAAGACAGTGGAACACAGGTTCTACAAAATGACACACCTGAGATCAGACTGATCAATGATGCTGTTTCAGTTTTCAAATTAAATGTAAAGGCTGGTCCCACTTATGTCTGCACTGTGTGTCATAAGGCCTCATTTCCCAACCAAGTAGTAGTCTGCAGAAGGTCAAGTTATGTCAAAAAGCCAGATGTGGTTGAGCGGTGCTTGACAGGGAAGTATGTCCATGTTTGTGATGAAGGCTGCAGAAATGAACGGTGCTCAGTTCCTGATGAGAGAAGGAAAGAGTGGATTTGTCACACCTGCCACAATCATCTGAAGAAAGGATGCATGCCACGCCTAGCAGCAGCAAACAAATTATGGTTGGCAGAGATTCCCTGTGTTCTTTCAGATTTAAATATCCTAGAAAGGCACCTTATTTCTAAAGTTATACCGTTTGCAAAGATAGTCCCTCTCCCGAAAGGTAGACAACGACTGATAAGAGGAAATGTTGTGTGTGTTCCATCAGAGGTTGAAGAAACTGTTCATGCTTTACCCAGACTGAGGAGCGAGTCTCAGGTGTTGAGAGTGAAGCTAAAGCGGCGTCTGAGTTTTAGAGGTCATTCACTTTTTCAGACAGTACAGTGGCCTAAACTAATCTCTGCATTACTGAAACTGAAGCAGATTCATCCAGAGTATAAAGACATAACTATCAGGGATGAAGCTGAGCTGTGTGACCCCACACTTCCAGATGATGAGGATGATGACAGTGATGTAAGCATGGAGGACGATGACTATGGTGAGGAAGATCTCATGGAAATTGACATTTTTGAGAGAAACGCTCAGTGTGAGAGAGAAAATGAGCCTGAAAATGATCAGGACAGTGAATGTGAGCAACCACAGCAACCACAAAATGATGGAAAAGAGGGAGATATGCCCAATGGAGGATTTGCTCTAGAGTCATGCCTTCAGCCTCTTGACATATCAGAAGAAATTCTCTGTTTCTCTGATGGTGCTTATTGTGTGGCCCCTGCAGAAAGAAATAATCCAGTCAGTTTTTTCAAGACCCCAAATTTGGAATCGATGTCATTTCCCGTACAGTTTCCGACTGGCGAGAATACTCTAGACCAAAAGAGACTTCTTAAAGTCACACCAAGTGGATATTTCAAGTCTCGTCTTTTTCATACAGACGATCGGTTTGCCAGAGACCCAAACTACTTGTTCTTTGCACAGTTTGTAACCGAGGTAAATCTGGCTAACAACAGCATGACCATACAGCTAAGAAAAGGTAAAACTAAGACCAGAGATGGGCGCAGAATAACCTCAAGCATGTTACAGGACAAACACGAGGTTGAGAAACTGGTGAGAAATAAAGATGCAGTCAGATTCATGCAGCCACTCAGAGGCACTCCAGCTTTCTGGGAGAAAACCAGAAAGGATCTGTTTGCCATGATCAGAGCACTGGGAAATCCTACATTTTTCCTCACTTTTTCAGCTGCTGAGTTCCGATGGCCTGAAGTCATTGAAGCAATAAAGAGACAACAAGGTGAGGAGGTTGATTTTGCGGCTCTTGATTGGACTGCAAAGTCTGAGATTCTGCGATCTAATCCTGTCACTTGCATGCGTATGTTTGATAAGCGAGTTGAGGCGCTTTACAGAGACTTGCTGCTGTCAGATGCTCAGCCTTTGGGGAGAGTGGTTGATTTTTTCCACAGAGTGGAGTTTCAGCACAGAGGAAGCCCACACATCCATGGTCTGGTTTGGGTTGAGGGCGCTCCTGAGTTGGAGAAGTCAGCTGATCAAACTGTGTGCGATTTTGTTGACAAATACATCTCAGCACAACTTCCTGACCCTGACACACAACCTGAACTTTATCAGAAAGTCAATGAACTTCAAAAACACAGTAGGAACCACACAAGGTCTTGTTTCAAGAGTGTGAACTCTGGTTGTCGGTTTGGTTTTCCAAAGCCCCCTTGTACACGAACAATGATCTCCAGAGCCATTGGGGAGGAGGAAGAGGAAGATGACACTGAAAGTGCAAAGAACAAACTAAGACCTCTGATGCAGCTGCTGAATGAACCCGAAGTGGCGTCCATGAGTTTAGAGCAGATCCTTTCTCGATGCGAGTTGACACTTGCGGAGTATGAAAGTTGCCTTCACCGTATGAGCAAAAAAACTGCAATCTACCTGAAGCGTGATCCCAAAGACTGCTGGATAAATGGGTACAACCCGCATCTGCTCAAAGCCTGGGACGCTAACATCGATGTGTCTTACATACTGAATGCTTACTCGTGTATTCAGTATCTGACAAAATACATCACCAAGAGGGAAAGTGGTCTATCAGAGTACCTGAAAACAGTCATCGCCAGCTCAGACATGGACAGAGTTAACGAGTGTGATGAGATGAGAGCTGTCATGCAGGCTTACTCAAAAAAGAGAGAGGTAAGTGCTCAGGAGTGTGTGGCTCGTGCATGTGGACTAAAGATGAAAAGGTGTTCCCGCAGTGTCGTCTTCATCCCTACCGATGACAATCCTGTGAAAATGAGTCGCCCCATGTCATTCTTGGAGGACATGCCACCGGATTCTAGCAATGTCTGGATGAGCAGTTTGAGTGATAAATACAAAGCCAGACCTGAGACATCCGAGTATGAGGAGATGTGTTTAGCTGATTTTGCAGCTACCTGCAGGTTTGTGAGTTCAGACAAGGTCAACACTGATGGTGTCTTACCTCTTCTCAATCAGCTTGGATTTGTCCAGAGGCGGAAAAATGATAAGCCCTCCGTCATCAGATATTACAACTGTTCAAAGGAAAAAGATCCTGAGCAATTTTATGCCAGATTACTGAGAGTGTACCTTCCTCACAGATCTGAATTTGAAATTCGAAGCGTGCATTTTCCAACCTATGCATCCTTTTACAACTCTGCCTATGTCCAACTACCAGGTTCAAACAATCCTGAGAGTGTGAGAAGCATTGTTGAAAGAAACAGAGACAAATATGAGAAAAACACTGAGGATATTGAGAAAGCTCTCGAGGAGTTTGAGGATAACAGAGATCTTGTGATCGATGAATGGTGTAATCTTGCCCCTGAATCCGAAGTTGTGAGGTTGCAGTGTGATGATGAACTTCAGCCGCCAGAGCCAGACAATGAACAGGAAAATGTACCAGACTTTTGTCCTCAGTCTGCTCCTACCACAGAAATGAGAGCCTTTAAGGAACCCCCAGCTATGGATCCTGCTGTACTGAGACAGATGTATCAGAACCTGAACCAGAAGCAGGCCTGTGTGTTCTATGCAATCAGAGACTGGTGCATTAAACTTGTGAATGGTCAGAACCCCGATGCTTTTCACCTATTTGTGTCCGGAGGCGGCGGAGTGGGGAAGTCACAACTTATCCGATGCATCTACTCAGAGGCCCGTAAGATACTGAACAAGTTGCAGGTACTTTCAGAGGAGGCTGATATTTCTAGTCCAACTGTTTTGCTAACAGCTTTTACTGGAACTGCAGCTTTCAACATCTGTGGAACAACACTTCACTCTTTACTGAAGCTCCCACGCAGTCTGAAGCCACCGATTCAAGGACTTGGTAACCAGCTGGATGAACTCAGGTCGGAACTTTTCAACGCCCAAATCATCATTATTGATGAGATCTCAATGGTTTCTAAGCCCCTCTTTGCTTATGTGGATGCACGACTGAAACAGATCAAAGGTAATCAGAGACCGTTTGGCGGGATGTCCGTTTTGGCTGTCGGGGACTTCTTTCAGTTACCTCCTGTGCGACAGTCTAAGCCTCTCTGTGTACACGATCCGACTGACATTGACCTGTGGCAGGAGCATTTTCAGATGGTCACTCTGACTGAGATAATGAGACAGAAAGATGATGTTGTCTTTGCAGAGATGCTGAACAGGATTCGAGTGAAAGAAAAGACTGATGAGCTGTCCCAGGCTGACAGAGATTTGTTGTCACAGCGGATTACAGAACCAGCCCTTTGTCCCACTGAGGTACTGCATATTTTTCCTACTAATAAGTTGGTTGACGAACACAACTCTGCAACACTGGCTTTGTTACATTCCAACATAATCACTATTGATGCAGATGACTTTCAGAAAGATCCACGTACAGGCAGAATGGTACGGAGAGAAAAACCATGCAAGGGAGGCAGAAATGATTTGGCTGACACTCTGAAATTAGCCGAAAGCTCACGCGTTATGCTCACTAGAAACATTGATGTACAAAATGGTCTGGTTAATGGTGCCTTTGGTACACTAACATCTTTTGTCACTTCTGAGGGTGATCAAAGCATCTCTAAGCTGGGCCTGACAATGGATCATCAGAAAGGTGTGACCAGAAACCAAAGTGGACCTGCAGAAACTGCCAATCTGGTTTACGTCGAGAGAGCAGAGGAGAATCTAAAGAACGGAGTGGTACGTAGACAATTTCCAGTGAAGCTGGCTTTCGCGTGCACTGTTCATAAAACCCAGGGCCTCACAACACATGCGGCTGTGGTGTCACTGCAGAAAATCTTTGAACCAGGTATGGCTTATGTAGCTCTTAGCAGGGTGACGTCTCTCAGTGGGCTGTATCTACTGGACTTGAATGAAAGGAAAATATTTGCCAATCCTGAAGTCTCTACAGCTCTCCAGACGATGAAACAAGCCAACATGGATCACATGATGCCTCTTCTTCTGGTTAAGGAACTAGTAGACAGGTCTGACACTCTTACCCTTGTTCATCACAACACAGAGGGACTTCAAGCTCACATTGATGACATTCAGAAACATCATGAGTTGTGTCTGGCAGACGTGTTGTGTTTTACTGAAACTCATCTGAAAGGCTCTTTTGTTGCAGACGATCTTCATCTGGATGGTTACAACATGTTCAAACGCAACAGACATGCATCCTACACTAACTTTCCTCAGATGGCCAGCAAAGGTGGTGGTGGGGTTGCTGTTTATGTGAGAAACAACTTTCAGGTGCGTGAAAGACAGTATTTGACCAATGTGATTGATCTTGAGTATGTTGCTTTGAAGGTTGAGGCTCCCTTCAGTGCAGTGATTGCAGCTGTGTACAGACCACCTGACTACAGCCTAAAACCATTCCTTCAAAATCTGGTAAGCCTTCTGGATGCCCTCGAGATGTTAGACTGTCACCCTGTCATTGTTTGTGGAGACTTTAATGAAAACCAGTTATCCAGGTCATCAAAGCCAATTTTGGAGCTGTTTCGGTCTCGAGGATTTGTACAGTTGATTTCTTCCCCCACGACAGAGAAACTCACACAACTTGATTTGATATTCATTTCTCAGCCACAGCAGTGTCTCCATTCAGGTGTCATGAGAACCTACTACAGTTACCACAACCCAGTGTTCTGTGTCCTGTCCGGCAGTGAACCATGAAGAGGTCGTGAGTGTAAAATAAAACATAAAGAATTGTAGTTACTTGATTTAAAAAAAAAAAAAAAGTTTTTAAAGACTGTGTTTGATCCTGAGATTTTAACAATAGATATCTGATTAGCAAATATGTTTACATCATTCCTCTGGATTCTGAGAATAATAAAAACTTTAAATGCTCTTACAGTATGTTAAGTTTTAGGCTGACAGCTGAGTTCTCTGTTTCAATTCTTGTTCTACTTAAAATAACAATCTAGAATTAGTGTCATGAACATGCAACTAAGGACTTGGTATGTTAGATTTTTAATACTTTATTGGATGAATCAAAGCTCTCTTTTCGAAACCATTGAAAAAAAATATAGAAATAAAGTAGATATTTGGATTGTGTTTTTTTCCAGAAATTGACTTTAAGTAAATTAAGTAGATTATAAATTTTTTCTGAGTACTGACATTTTTGTATACATTTCACTTAAAATACTTAAACAAATGTGAATGATTTTACACAGTATATCTCATATGACAACAACTTTAATGGAAAATGTAGCAAAAAATTGGTTTTTCAGCTTGGAAGATAGAACACCATAAAAAATAAACCTAGTAGTAATTGGATGATTGGTATGCAAAGAGAATTATGTTAAACATCTATAAGAACATGAGTGGCCTGTGCATTTATCTGGGCGGGTTGGGTTGGGATGATAAATGCACAGGCCACAACTGTGCTCCATATATCCTCCTGCTGACACTGACCAGGTTCTTCTAGGCAGACACAAGGTGAGTAGGAAATCTTCTGTCTGTAAAAACTAAATTTCCCTTAATTATTCAGACTTTGTGGTTTTATTTACGATCTATCTCTTCATCTTACAGGTCAGAGTATCCAAATCCCATCTTGGCATTTCTAGGCTACAAATCCATCTTAGTGAGACCCTTGCAGCTGAAGACAAGCATATCATCATCTTCATGTTAAACCTCACCAACAGGGGACGGTTTGTGCTCTGCAGCAATGTTGAAGGAATTTAGTAATCATACATCATGTGACCATTTTTTAAACGTTCAAAGTCATTACAATGTAAGCCTTCTCTTCTTTCACAGGATCAGTTACCACACCATCATCTTCTGTCTCCAGAAGAGATAAACCAGTGCCCACCCCTTGCCTGGTGATCAGATTCTGCTTCTGGGATCAAGTCATAAGGAACAGGCAAATTTGTTTGGCTTACTCTCTGACCTGTGTACTGCATTGGGCCCTCATACTGAGGCTCAGAGGTATTTGCTCTGCAGCAGTATTGAAGGTAATTAGTAATCATACATCATGTGACCATTTTTAAAACATTCAAAGTCATTACAATGTAAGGCTTCTCTTCTTTCACAGGATCAGTTACCACACCATCATCTTCTGTCTCCAGAAGAGATAAACCAGTGCCCACCCTTTGCCTGGTGATCAGATTCTGCTTCTGGGATCAAGTCATAAGGAACAGCCAAATTTGTTTGGCTTACTCTCTGACCTGTGTACTGCATTGGGCCCTCATACTGAGGCTCAGAGGTATTTGCTCTGCAGCAGTATTGAAGGTAATTAGTAATCATACATCATGTTACCATTTTTTAAATATTCAAAGTCATTACAATGTAAGTCTTCTCTTCTTTCACAGGACCACACCGTCCTCTTCTGTCTCCAGAAGAGATAAACCAGTGCCCTCCCTTTGCCTGGTGATCAGATTCTGCTTCTGGGATCAAGTCATAAGGAACAGCCAAATTTTTTTGGCTTACTCTCTGACCTGTGTACTGCATTGGGCCCTCATACTGAGGCTCAGAGGTATTTGCTCTGCAGCAGTATTGAAGGTGATTAGTAATCATACATCGTGTGACCATTTTTTAAACGTTTAAAGTCATTACAATGTAAGGCTTCTCTTCTTTCACAGGATCAGTTACCACACCATCATCTTCTGTCTCCAGAAGAGATAAACCAGTGCCCACCCTTTGCCTGGTGATCAGATTCTGCTTCTGGGATCAAGTCATAAGGAACAGCCAAATTTGTTTGGTTCACTCTCTGACCTGTGTACTGCATTGGGCCCTCATGCTGAGGCTCAGAGGTATTTGCTCTGCAGCAGTATTGAAGGTAATTAGTAATCATACATCATGTGACCATTTTTTAAACATTCAAAGTCATTACAATGTAAGTCTTCTCTTCTTTCACAGGATCAGTTACCACACCATCATCTTCTGTCTCCAGAATAGATAAACCAGTGCCCACCCTTTGCCTGGTGATCAGATTCTGCTTCTGGGATCAAGTCATAAGGAACAGCCAAATTTGTTTGGTTCACTCTCTGACCTGTGTACTGCATTGGGCCCTCATACTGAGACTCAGAGGTATGTGCTCTGCAGCAATGTTGAAGGTACTTAGTAATCATACATCATGTGACCATTTTTTAAATATTCAAAGTCATTACAATGTAAGTCCTGTCTTCTTTCACAGGATCAGTTACCACACCGTCCTCTTCTGTCTCCAGAAGAGATAAACCAGTGCCCACCCTTTGCCTGGTGATCAGATTCTGCTTCTGGGATCAAGTCATAAGGAACAGCCAAATTTGTTTGGTTCACTCTCTGACCTGTGTACTGCATTGGGCCCTCATACTGAGGCTCAGAGGTATTTGCTCTGCAGCAGTATTGAAGGTGATTAGTAATCATACATCATGTGACCATTTTAAACGTTTAAAGTCATTACAATGTAAGTCCTCTCTTCTTTCACAGGATCAGTTACCACACAATCTTCTTCTGTCTCCAGAAGAGATAAACTGCTAACCACCCCTTGCCTGGTTATTGGATCTTGCTTTTGGGATAAGGTCATAAGGAACAGGCAAATTTGTTTGGTTCACTCTCTGACCTGTGTACTGCATTGGGCCCTCATACTGAGGCTCAGAGGTATTTGCTCTGCAGCAGCATTGAAGGTAATTAGTAATCATACATCATGTGACCATTTTTTAAACATTCAAAGTCATTACAATGTAAGGCTTCTCTTCTTTCACAGGATCAGTTACCACACCATCATCTTCTGTCTCCAGAAGAGATAAACCAGTGCCCACCCTTTGCCTGGTGATCAGATTCTGCTTCTGGGATCAAGTCACAAGGAACAGCCAAATTTGTTTGGTTCACTCTCTGACCTGTGTACTGCATTGGGCCCTCATTCTGAGGCTCAGAGGTATTTGCTCTGCAGCAGTATTGAAGGTGATTAGTAATCATACATCATGTGACCATTTTTTAAACGTTTAAAGTCATTACAATGTAAGGCTTCTCTTCTTTCACAGGATCAGTTACCACACCATCATCTTCTGTCTCCAGAAGAGATAAACCAGTGCCGACCCCTTGCCTGGATATCGGATCTGCCACTGGGATAAGGTCATAAGGAACAGCCAAATTTGTTTGGCTTACTCTCTGACCTGTGTACTGCATTGGGCCCTCATACTGAGGCTCAGAGGTATTTGCTCTGCAGCAGTATTAAAGGTATTTATTAATCATACATCATGTGACCATTTTTTAAACATTCAAAGTCATTACAATGTAAGTCTTCTCTTCTTTCACAGGATCAGTTACCACACCATCATCTTCTGTCTCCAGAAGAGATAAACCAGTGCCCACCCTTTGCCTGGTGATCAGATTCTGCTTTTGGGATCAAGTCATAAGGAACAGCCAAATTTGTTTGGTTCATTCTCTGACCTGTGTACTGCATTGGCCCCTCATACTGAGACTCAGAGGTATGTGCTCTGCAGCAATGTTGAAGGTACTTAGTAATCATACATCATGTGACCATTTTTTAAATATTCAAAGTCATTACAATGTAAGTCCTGTCTTCTTTCACAGGATCAGTTACCACACCATCATCTTCTGTCTCCAGAAGAGATAAACCAGTGCCCACCCTTTGCCTGGTGATCAGATTCTGCTTCTGGGATCAAGTCATAAGGAACAGCCAAATTTGTTTGGCTTACTCTCTGACCTGTGTACTGCATTGGGCCCTCATACTGAGACTCAGAGGTATTTGCTCTGCAGCAGTATTGAAGGTGATTAGTAATCATACATCATGTGACCATTTTTTAAACATTCAAAGTCATTACAATGTAAGTCTTCTCTTCTTTCACAGGATCAGTTACCACATCTTCTGTCTCCAGAAGAGATAAACCAGTGCCCACCCCTTGCCTGGATATCGGATCTGCCACTGGGATCAAGTCATAAGGAACAGCCAAATTTGTTTGGCTTACTCTCTGACCTGTGTACTGCATTGGGCCCTCATACTGAGGCTCAGAGGTATTTGCTCTGCAGCAGTATTAAAGGTATTTAGTAATCATACATCATGTGACCATTTTTTAAACATTCAAAGTCATTACAATGTAAGTCTTCTCTTCTTTCACAGGATCAGTTACCACACCATCATCATCTGTCTCCGGAAGAGATAAACCAGTGCCCACCCCTTGCCTGGTGATCGGATTTTGCTTCTGGGATCAAGTCATAAGGAACAGCCATATTTGTTTGGTTCACTCTCTGACCTGTGTACTGCATTGGGCCCTCATACTGAGACTCAGAGGTAAAATATATTACGGATTTTCTCCTTAAGACCTGCACCCATCTTTCCAGTGCTCAGCAGGTGCATGGAAGAAGCAGTTCAACAGCAGGGACACTTTGCTCCTTCATGGTGACTATGTGCTCCTTTGAATCTTCTGTTGACAGCGATTCATTCAAAAAAAAAAAAAAAAAAAAAAACTCAACCATGAACATTATGGAGAAATGACAGTAATTGCTCTAAGTTTTCCTCATCCATGTCTGTAATTATGCAGCTTTAACTCTTGGATCCTTGCAGGCCTGGTACCAGGCTCATCTGATGCCTTCTCATATTTATCTATTTATAGAAATGGCCAAAACACGCACACTGTGTCTCATCCACATGCCTTTCAAAATGGGGCTTTAAAATTTCTAAAACAAGTTTTAGCCATAAGGTTTACATTTCCACCTGACATGTGTGACTGTCTGGGAGTAATGCAACAGAAGGTATTCATTTTTAGCCTCAATAGCCCGTAACATTGGGAACTAGAGGCTCAGACCTTTCCAAGGAGGGTTTGGAGGTAATTGTGTGACCGTTTCCGCGGGTGTAACCGGCCTGCGTGGCATAAATTGGTGTGACAGATGATACAAATTTATAGTTCGGGAGTTTTACTTGCCTTAATTAACATAAGTAATTTTAGTCGGAATTTGCTCCAGAGACCCTGTGGGCTTATTAATTAATATTTTATACTATTGCACTGGTATTTTTCTCCATTACCCAGTAGGTTTCTTTTAATCTGAATTATTTTTAAAGTATAAAGTGGTGTACTGCTGTGAAAACCAGGTCAAATCTAAATGACATAAATTATTTATTTTGATAGTAGTTTTAGCGGATATAAGACAGGACCTACACATACTGTGTGTTAGTGCATGAAGGAAGCCAATCCTTACTTTCTGGAATAGGTAATACTTGGTCACCTGTTAAATCTGGTAACCATGATCAAATTTTAAAAGTAAATGTGTTTTGAACTCTTCAATTTAAACAGTGATTAAAGCAATTTATAAGTTAATATTATTCATTATTTGGTAGAGTTACAATTAAATAGAAAGAACTATTGAGGTGTTACACATAACTGTGTGAATCCTGTCTTAGTGGGGTTATCAGCTGGTAATTTGGTGTGAAAGATGTTTTCCACATCTGTGCAGTTAGAGCAGGCTAATAAAAAAACATGAGTCAAAAGCAGATGTGAAATCTGAACACTGTGTTGTTCACAGTTCTCTAAAGACTGACCACCACTATGGTATCACAATAAAGATACAATATCTAATCAGAGGTAGAACCATGAATGAATGTGTAATTATTCTTGCTATAAGCACAATATGAAAAGCATTTCACACTAAGCAAAAGTTTTCAAACATTGTTTATTTTGAAATAAAATTTGGCAAGGCTAAATATTTTTCATTTCTTCTCTGTTTAGATCACCTATAAATCACACAAGGTGACATTTAAAATAGTTGTTATACCTGAAAAAATATGCCTCAATGCCTTTCTGTCATACAAATATAAACGGTGTTACCAATAGTAACACAATCGTAGTTCGGGGGTGGGGGGGTATGTACTTGGCTTAAATTACATATTTAATTTCAGTTGAAATTTGCTCCTAAGACCCTGTGGGCTTATTAATGAATATTTTAAACTATTGCATTGTTATTTTTCTCTGAGGTTTCTTTTAATCTGAATTATTTTGAAATTATAAAGTGGTTTACTACTGTGAAAACCAGGTTGAATCAAATTTTAAAATAACTTGAATTCTTCAATTTAAACAGTGGGAATAACAATTGATAAGTTAATAAATTCATTATCTGGTAGGGGTGAAAATATAAAAGGACCATTGAGTTGTGACACATAACTATGTGAATCCTGTCTTAGTGGGGTTATCAGCTTGTAATTTGGTGTGAAAGTTTTCCACATCTGTGCAGTTAGAGCAGGCTAAAACATGAGTCAAAAGCAGAATGTGAAATCTGAACCATGTGTCGTTCACAGTTCTCTAAAGACTAACTACCACTATGGTATCTTAATAAAGATACAATATCTAATCAGAGGTAGAACCATGAATAAATGTGTAATTAGCCTTGCTATAAGCACAATGTGAAAAGCATTTCACAGTAAACCAAACTTTGTTTTTGTTTAGTCTTTGTTCATGTCCAAAAAAGATCCAGTTTGAGCTGAAAGTAATTTGTTCCATGAACTCAATGCTCCCTAAACCAAACTCTGTATTTTCTTGTATAATCTATCACAAAGTTGAAATCTAAAAAGTAAACTTTATTTTTTCCAAATTAATTATATATTTTTTTAAAGAATAGAAACATGTATTTAGCTACAGATTTGAATTCATTTAGTATCACATCATTGTAATAATTGCTATTCTATTAAGTCTTTAGTCTTTGAAAAATTATTTTTAAATTAATTATGATACAATTTACAATAGTTACTATGTTTAATTTACAATCTCTAATTTTATCTTAAAATACTACATTTAATTTTTGATTTACTTTAATTTATTATCTCTAATTTTGATTTAGATCATTTACTTCAAAAGTGTTATTTTAGGTCTGTGTCCATAGTCTGGTTTGGCAGAACATCTTCATATCTGACAGGTTATTTTCTGTTAAAAGGGTGTCTTTCCTCTCCACTCTTGCTGCGTGCATGCTCTGTGTCAGTGATTGCTGCAAAATCAATGACTAAATATAAGAAAATGTCTACTGTGTGTAAATGCTCATCCAGAAGAACAAATTCTCATTAGTCAATGACTGAATGCAATCATCTGGGTTCCTCCAAACTTTTAACTAATTGTATGATGTAATTGAATTTTTTCTGTAAAGTTTCTTGAGATGACTTGTGTTGTGAATTTGTGTGATAATATGATAAATAAACCAAATTGCAATTCATTAATATTAACCTCATGGGTGAGATTGTCTTGCATTGTTACTGTTTCCTTATCACGAAATATTTCATTCAATGTACTGTTATTTGTCATTGTTTTAGAAAAAAAAGCGAAGCATTATTAATTAAATATACTGATGATTCATTTTGAATCAATTAACAGTATTTCATTATTTTTAATTCCTTCCTTTTTTCGCTTTGCTGTTTGGGCAAACTTTGACAATGTTTCTGCTAATGTATTAGTAGATTTTGTTAGATTTGCTGTCAACTTTATCTTGCTCCCACCTTTTTAAAGAAAATAAATTAGATATTTCTTTTTTTCTTGCCAAGTTAAAATGTTTCAGTAAGATTACTACTTTCAGCTTCAGGATATTTATGATTTACTTTAAGCAATCATGCATTTACATTTCTTCTAATGTATAAGGTTTCACCAAGTGTTGTCCTGTTCAACTAAACTTCTTTGAGCTTCCACTTCAACACATGATTTTGGAGTGTTTTCTGCTGGTTCAGTAAATATCAAGGAACGTTCTGCTGTCAAGTTTAGCAGGTTTCTGCCAGGATATTGAAAAATGATTCTATCCTACAAAATCTTTAGATTATTCAATTGCTATCTGCTCATTTAAGGTTCAGATTACTATCCAAAAACACTTTTGTGTATTCTTTAGCTTTTTAGCTGTTTTTCCCCCTTTATGCAGTTTTTTTTAGCAAATTTTTCTCTTTTCATTCAGCAAAAAAAGCATTCCCACTTTGCTGTTTCTGCGAAAAACAGAAAAACAATAAGTGGGAATGCTTATGCATTCCCACTTATTGTTTTTCACTTGTAATTTTTCTAACTCTAACTAGTCCCGCAGTTTTCAACTGATTTCAACAATTTTGGTATCAAAACGTTCAGCTTGTTCAGGAGAATTCTGCTATGTCTTTTGGTAAAGATATTTTTTGTAGTTTTCGCAATATTCAGCTTTTTCTGCGTTTTTTTTGTCCCATTGAAATGCATGTAGAATTCTTAGATTTCAGCAAAATTCAGCTAAACCTTCATCATCTTTGACCTTTAACTACTTCAGCATACTTTCAGCTAGAAACACCATTCAACTTTTAAAATGTTTCCGTATCTTTCTGCTATTACTGTTTAACTCGGCTTTCTGCTAACTTTTACAGTTTTGCTTCAGTGAAGCTTCAAACTTTAAAAGAAAATTTTCAGATTTTCAGATTTATAATGGAAGTCTATGGACGGAATTCTTCAACTGCTAGAGTGCGTGCTCTAGCTTTTGAGCTGTTCTGGTTTTTCCGAACAAATTCTTCTCAGTCCATCATTTTTAACTCAATTGAAATAAATTATACATCAAAACGTAGGGATTTTTGTCAGGATTCAGGAAATATAACCCTCATTTGTGTGGCTTTTACGGTTTTCCGACAGTATGGCCCAGACCATGAAGAAGTCCACACTTCCCCAATAGAAATCCAATGAGAGATTTTCCAAAAATCACAGACAAAATCAAAAACGATACATATTTTTGTATCGCTCCCATTTATTAACTATTTGATGTACTAACATGAAACTTGGTATAGAACATCTTCAGACCCTTCTAGCACTCACATTGAAGGAATTTCTTCAATATCATTTATGGTTTAGCTGTTTAGCTGACTTGTTCGGGCATAGGAAAACGCTGATTCTGAGAAAAATCCTAAAACTCAGAAAATGCAAATTTTTACATCGTCACCGTGGCCAAATAGTTTTTAGTAGAAACATGAAAGTTGGCAGAGTCGAAGCCGAAGGATGGCTGACGCCAACGGTGAAAGAATTTTTTTAATACCTAATACGGTTTTGGCTCACCGCCCGTTTGTTCACAGGGAAAGTTTTGCTTTTGAGAGTTCTGCTCTACCATTGAGCTGCATGTTATTTAATGAGACCAGCAGGATTTACAAACCTTTATATTCCTCCTTCCCATTAAGGCTGTGAATGAGCTACAGCCATGAAAGTTACCCCAATTGGAGACAAAGGATAGCTGTCGCTTAGACTGAAAGAATTTTTTAGATACCATTTACGGTTTGTCTTCAGCACTCGTTTGTTCGGAGCTGATATTCCCATTCAAAAAAGCCTGAGAGGAAAGGAACGAAAGTGATGCGCATTTCTCTCTGTCACTGACAGGCTCGTTAAGCGTTGTCAAGGTAACCGTGCTTCAAAGAGATTTTACCTCCACCACTTTAAACAGCACATTTTAATCTAATGGAGGGAGACAACACTGATTTAACATTAGGAAGTGGATACAATATGACCACTGGCCATGACCCT